GGGAGGGGGGTTGGGGGGTTGGGGGCCCTAGGGTTGTGTTTTGTGCTGCTGCAGCAGCGCAGCAGCAGCACCTTTATCTCTCTATTCAGCTGCTGCTGCACAGACATCACGGCTACACACAATCCATACGATAATAATCCAGTAAGCTTTCCCTTCTCTTCTTCTTTGTGGCTTCTTCTTTATCTGTGCTTCAGGGGAGAAGAAGAGCCCGACCCCACAAACGACTGAATACGCTGCAGCAATTCTACCTTCTGCTGCAGCAAACCTCCAGAAGCAAAACCCACAGGCACTAACAAGCCGAAGACAAGTGCAGCAGCGCTTCATTGAGGAGGCACTGCTGGCTTATAGGGGCCATGCGGTAAGACATCCGGGGTAGCTGCTGCTGCATGCTGCTGATTCTGCTGCTGTTTCTTCTGCTGGTGCTTCTGCTGCTGCTTCTGCTGCTGCTTTTGCTGCTGTTTCAGTTCCTGCTGCTGCTTCTCTTGCTTTTGCTGCTGCTTCTGGCGCTGTTGCTGGTTCTGCTATACGCGCTGCTGAAGGTCCAGACAGCTGCTGCTGTTGCTGCTGCTGCAAGCTACCCTTTTTCTGCGGCTGTTTGTGATGCTGCTGCAGCTGGTGCTCGTGTTGCTGTGGCTGCTGCTGAGGCTGCTGCAGCAGATCTCTCTCTATTTTGCTGCGGTCTCTACCACAAGACTGCTGCCTTCTTCCGATGTAGAGTTGAGGCCTCACCTCCAGGAGGGCGCATAATGCAATTGCTGTTGTTTAGGGTTTAGGGTTTATTGCTTTTCTTGTTTTCTTAGTACAGCCCCCAGGCTCTGCAGCAGCGTCTTCAACCGCCTGCTGCTGCTACTGCTGTTGCTGCTCTTTTATCGAGACAAACTGACGCAAATCCTCGCCGGGCCCTGCCTCCAGCAGCAGCAGCAACAACAACTGGCGCCCCTTGATTGGAAGCTGCAGCCGGAAATGCGCTGCGAGACTGCTAAGCTTCTTTAGACATCGCTGCTGCAGGCCAGTGGCTGCAACAGCAGCAGCAGCAGCAGCAGCAGCAGCAGTGAGAGACACCTGAGAAGGATCCTTCCGTGAGAGTTGTATATGACGCCGTCTTTACAGTGGCCGGGGGCCCTCCGCGCGCAGCAGCAGGTGCTTCCCCAACAGCAAGGGGCTGTAGAAGCCCCCATCAGCTGCTGTCTCCTTTCCGTCTCCCTCTCAGGCGGCCTTAGCAATGGCGGCTGTCTCTTCGGGCGCTGCTGCTCCCACTGCAGAGGCTGCTGCTGCCTTCTCCAGGGGACAGCTGAGCCACGAACTGCAGCAATGTGCAGCCGCACCAACAATCAACCAGCAACCGCAGCAGCAGCAGCAGCAGCAGCCGCAGCAGCAACAGCCGCAGCCGCAACAGCAGCAACAGCAGCAGCAGCAGCAGCTGTTGTTGCTGCAGCAATTCCCACCACCTCTCCAGCAGCCGAGCCCACAGCCGAGCCCGCAGCCCCAGCAGCTACCCCTGCAGCAGCAGAAGCATACTGAAAATATCTCAGGAGACACCTCGTTGCTGCTGTCTGCCCCCAACTCCACACCTAAGTGGCTCTGGCCTGCAGTCGATGTTAAGGTGTCTTCACCGCAGCCTTGGCTCTCCTTGGGGGCCCCCAACGTCCTTGAAAGCCCGGCGGCAGCAGGAGCAGCAGCAGCAGGAGGAGCAGCAGGAGCAACAGCAGGAGCAGGAACAGGAACGCCTCCTGGTGCAGCAACAGCAGCAGCAGCAGCTGCTGCTGCTGCTGCTGCTGCGGCTGCTGCAGCCTTTGAGGGGAGCAGCAGAGGCTTGGCTGCTCCTTTTCACGGCCTGCCCGCCCTAACCTCCGACGCTGTCTTTAATTCGCATGCACCGCTGGGTCTGCGCGCAGCAGCAGCAGCAGACAAAAGCCCCGTAGTGCAGACAGAGCCTTCCGTCTGCTCTGCTGCTGCTGCTGCTGTGCGCGGCGCCTCTTCACCTCTCAAGGCATTCCCTCAGAGCCAAGAAACAACAGGAGGTAGGCACATAAATTCAAAAGGAGACAATTATTCAAAAGGAAGAGACAGTCGGGGTGGCCAGCCTACATGCTTGTCGGCGTTGCAGCCTTCCTTGTCTGCCGCTCAGCACCTACACTGCACTGCCAACTGTTGCTGCTGCTGCTGCTGCTGCTGCTGCTTCTGTTTCTGTTTCTGCTGCTGTTTGTGGAGCTTTCTGAGCGGAGACAGGCCTCGAAATCTGCTGCGTGAGTGGGTTTCGTTTGCTGCAGGGCTCTTGGCTACCTGCTGCGTAGAGCAGGGGCCCCCAGGTCTTGAAATAGGAGATAATCAGCAGCAGCAGCAGCAGCAGAAGCACCACATGCAGCAACAGATGCCTAGGGAGCAGCATATATTCACCCACAGCCCGCCTCAGCTGCCCCTGGGCCAACAACAGAAACAAAGACAACCGCTGCAGCAATTGCAGCAACTGCAGCAACCGCAGCAACTGCAACAACTGCAGCAACTGCAGCAACTGCAACAACTGCAGCGGCAGCAGGTTTCAACTCCGCACATAAATCAGCCGCAACTGCAGCAGCAGTTGCTGCATCTGCATCTGCAGCAGCAGTTGCAGCAGCAGCTGCAGTTGCAGCAACAGCTGCAGCAGCAGCTTCATCTGCAGCAGCAGCATCAGCAGCAGCACTCTAGCGAGCAACACGCGGTGCAGAGGAGCCTTCGGCTGCAGCAGCTGGAGCACGGCCTGCTGCCAGAAGAGCAAGGACCTCTTTCCTCTAAAGCCCCTCTGCACCCTGAGGCATCGCTTCAAGGTTGCTGCAGCTGCTTAAACAAATGGGGGGGCCTCATTGGGGAGCAACCGAGAGGAGGGGAGACAGCAGCAACCCTCGCAGCAGGAACTGCTGCCCCTGCCACTGCAACAGCAGCAGCAGCAGCAGTAAACGGCGCAACAGGGTTTGGCTCGTCTCCTCACGGGGCTTTCAAGCCAGCAGCAACACCAGCAGCAGCAACGGCAGCAGCAGCAGCAGCAGGAGAGCCCTCTACGTCGACGGCAGACTGCTGCGGGCTCGACAGCAGGAGACTGGGGGTTGAAGGAGCAAAGAAATTTTTAGATATTTCGCTTACACCGCTGGAGATGTGGCAGGCGAGACAAGTTTTAAACCAAAGAGAGTCTCGGCCTCTTCGCCTTACACGCCTGGAGATGGTAGAAGCTTATGCGAAGTGTATGCCAGCAGCAGCGCAGCAGCACGCACGCACTAGCAATGCCCTAGAACTATCTAGGAAGGCATTCATATACTGTTTACGCCTTAGGGTTGAGGGTCTAGGGTTGTGGGCTTAGGGCTTCGGGTTTAGGGTTTAGGGTTTAGGGTTTAGGGTTTAGGGTTTGCGTGCATTCGACGTGCACTGTATCCGCCTTCTCTTTCCGCGTAGCCGCCTACTTAATAAATACACCGTTGGAGAGCTGCATGTACACCGCAGCACGCATGCAGGAGTGGGATTTTGTGTGTCTGCGTGGCTGCTGCATGCAGCCACTTTGTGTTTGTCTTGCGACTCCATGGAGCACAAAATCACCAACTGTCCCTTTGGGGAGTTTGTCTGCCCCAACTGCCACCGCTCCTCGCACAGAGGGGAGCACTGTCCCCTGGTTTGTCTCCTGTCTCTTCTGTCTCTCTCTCTCAAGTGTCTCCTCTACTCGCCGTCTACACTGTCTCCTGACTGTCTCCTGTCTCCTCTGTCTCCTCCGTCTCTGTCTCTGTCTCTCTCCCTTTCAAATTTCTCCTCTGCATGCTGTCCACACTGTCTCCTGAATGTCCCCTTTGTGCGTCTCCTGACTGTCTCTGCGCTGTCTCCTGTCTCGGTTGTCTCTCTCCCTGCTGTCTCCTCTACGCGCTGTCTCAACAATACGCTGTCTCCTCTACACTGGCTGTTGCCTGATTGTCTTCTCCCTAGGGTGTCTGTCTCCGTCTTTTCTCTCTACTGTCTCTCTGCTGTCTGTCTCCTCTGTCCACTGTATGCCCCCTCTCTACGGTATCTGAGTCTCGACTGTCTCCTCTCTTCACTTCCTGTCTCCTGCCTGTCTCCTTTTTGCGCTGTCTGTCTCCTTCATGTTACCTTGGGTGTCTCTCTGCTTGTCTCCTCTCTGTGTGCTTTTCCTCTTCGCCTTCGTCATCTGCTGTGCCTTCGTTTGTCTCCATTTTCTGGTTGTTTTCTTGATCTCGTCTGTCTCTTCTTATTTTCTTGCTGTCTCCTTGTGCTTCTATGAGGAGACATTTGCTGCTGCACAGAGACACATCTCTTTAAAAGATTTGCTGCTGCTGTGCGTCTCAGCCCTGCAGATTTTGCTTCGAACGGCATGCAGGAATTTCAGTCAATGAATGTATTCGGGTGAGATGGTTTTTGCTGCTGCTGCTGCTGCACCAGTTTGCTGCTGCTGCTTCACTCTCGTTTGCTGCTGCTGCTTCGATCGGCTGTTGCTTCTTCCTCAGTCTGTCTGCTGCTGCTTCTGCATGTGGATGGCATCGTATGCATACATGTGGGGTATTCGTATGTCTCTGCGTGTGTCTCTATTTCAGCGTACAGTGCGGCAGCCTTTAGAGCGTCTCTTAGGAGTAAAGATGCCTCTGGACCCGTCTTTAAGTAGGAGACAGAAGCAGCAAGAAGGAGGAGGAGGAGGCAAGGAAGATGAAGCAGCAGACCCCACACGCTTGGCTTGTGTGCGAGCAGACCGCCCTAATACCCCACATGGGAGGAGCGTATATGTTAGCAATATGCTGCCGGGGACGAGTAAGGAGACACTTCGTTCAGCAATAAACTTCTTGCTGAAGCACGGGGAAGTGGTGGGGGTAGAAATGCGAGAAAGAACGAATTATCTTCCTTATGCCTTTGTGGAGCTGTCTTCTCTTCAAGCTGCTTACGAACTTGTTCAATATAAAAGAGCTGCATTAGTTATAGGAGAACAAGAGCTGAAGGTACAGTTCAAGAAGATAGGCCTTGCATGCCCCCCTCCCCCTCCTCGTAGCGGTTCTGCTGTCTATGGAGCAGCAGAAGAAGAAGATAATGTTAATGCTTCAAGGTCTACTGTCTCTCTTATGAAGCCCTTCATACCCACAGGACAAACAGTTAAAGATGTCTGCCGCCTCGTTGCTCGCAAACTTTCTCGTGACTTCGGTATACCAATGCCCCCTCCCCCTCCTCTTTATGCAGCTGCAGATACACCTGAGGTCTTAGCCTTGCTAACTCAAGGAAATGCAACAGCAGCAGCAGCAGCAGCAGGGGGAGCAACAGGAGGGGCAGCTGCATGCGAGGCAGCTTCTATCAAACCAACGGCTCCAGCGCTGCAGCGTGAAGCTTTGCATACAAGTGCGGAGACAGACAGCAGCAGACAGCAGCAACTATCAACGCCAACTGTCTCCTTTTCAGCGCTGCAGACACAGGCACGAGAACAAGAATCCCCCAACATATGGAACAGAGACATCAGGGGAATCAGAGAGACAGTAATGAAGCCGCTGCAGCAGCAAACAACCCCACACAGTACTGCAGCAGCACCCGCAAATCTACACACACACCAACACTCGCTCGATCCCCTGCACCTGCACCACCACCACCAGCAGCAACAGCAACAGCAGCAGCAGCAGCTGCAGCTGCAGCAGCAGCTGCCTTGCCTGATGCCAGTTCACAGCCCCATGGATATACTAATTAATTCCTCTCAGGGAGGCGGAGTGATCGGCGTTGAAGGCATAGGAGAGACAAACGGAGAGTTGCAGCAGCGCAGCAGCAGCTTTCTAGACCTCCGGGGTGAGGGGCCCCACAGTGGAGGGGGGCCCCCGAGCCTCCAGATGCTACAGCAGCAAACAAACGGAGGGTTTGGCGTTGGAGGGGGGCCGCAAGACAGCGGCGAAAGAATAGAAGGAGGCAGCGGCTCCCTCTTCGCTCTGCAGACACTGGGGGCGCATGCAGCGGGGTGTACAGACAGCTCAAGGGGCAGCAAAGGGGACCCTGAATCTCTTGAGGGGCCCGAAGGCAGTGGACAGAGGGAGACACCTGAGGAGACACCTGAGGAGACACCTGAGGAGACACCTCCGCCCCCCTTCGACCCCCCAATCGAAGCAAACAGAACTAACCTAATGAAACTAGAGAGCAGCCTCTCCTCCCTGGGCCCCCCTCCTCTGCTGAGCAGCAGCAACACAGACCTGGGGCCTTCTCTGTTAGGTGTCTCCGCGTACATGGGAAAGGCAGCAGGAGCAGCAGGAGCAGCAGGAGCAGGCGGAGGAGGCGATGCTGCTGCTGCTGCTCTGCAGGAGCCTTGGGCTGGACTAGTTAGTTTGCAAGGGGCAGATAGCTGCAGCACGCCACTGCGGGGGCAGCAAGGAGACAGCAGCAGCACCCTCTCGGGTACCCCTGCTACGTCTCTGTCAGGTAGTTTAGGCTGCGATTCGCTGCCGTCTCCTTCTGCCTCCAACAGCATCAATGGCCCCCCTCAGCCTAAGGAGATAGATGAATCCCAACACCCAGATACAGATGCAGCAGCAGCAGCAACAGCAGCAGCAGCAACAGCAACAGCAGCAGCAGCAGCAGCAGCATTAGGTAGGGGACCCCAGAGAGATATGCACCAGATCCTGACTGGGGGGCCCTTCAGCAGCTCTTTAAAGCACCAAAGCCTGTGTCCCTTCTTAGCTGCTGCTTCTGCTGCACCTCAGGAGGAGGTGGGGGGCCCCCTGGGGCCCCCAGCAACGGAGACAGAGGAAGAGAGCAAACACTCTCAGGGTCTCCTCTTCAGCCCCAAAGACATGTTGTATACAGCCAACACTCAGGGGGGCCCCCAGACTGCACAGGGGGGGGGCCCCCAACCAGCGCACGGGGGGCACCCGCCCCCCATTTGCCTCCCTCCCTTCCCTTTGTCACGGCAGTGTAGCGAGACAACAAAGCCCTGTTTGCTGCTAAGCAGCAGTAGCTGCATGCAGCAGCAGCAACCCCACACAGCGTCTTACTTTGAGATGGATATATCGCAGCTGTTGCGTCCTGTCTCTGCATGCGGGGCGAGCGGAGGGGTAGGGGGCCCCGGGGGTCTCCTCAGGGCCCCTTTAGAGACAGGAGAGACAGGAGACAAAGGAGACAACGGAGACACCTGCTGCGCTGCCAACGATCTCTCTCCCCCAAGGGCCTTCTCTCGCAGGGCCCATCAGATGGGGCTACCCTGTCTCTGGCGGGGACTCAAGCAAGAAGAAAATGCAGTAGCAGAAGACACTCAGGGGCCCCTCATGTCAACAACAACAGCAGCAGCAGCAGCAGCAGCTGCTGCTGCTGCTGCTGCTGCGGCTTCCCCGCCTGGTGAAGGCTTCATAAGCCACCAAGCAAAGAGACCCGTGGGCAAGAGGGCAGAGGCACAAGCAGCAGCCCCACAGGCAGCACCTGCTGCTGCTGTCTCCTCAGGCATGCTGCAGTTGGAGACACTTCGCTGGGGCTCCAGCAGCAGCAGCCTTCGAGATCCGATCCCGGAAGAGACAGCTCCCAACACCACAGGAGGTTTTGGTGCTGCTGTGGGGCAGAGGTGGGGGGAGTCAGGCGCTGCTGTTGCTGCTCGGGCCTGGCTGTCTCCGTGCGGGGGAGAAGATAGCACCAAACCTGCAGCATCTGCTGCAGCAGCTGCTGCTGCAGCAGATGCAGCAGCAGCAGCAGCAGCAGCAGATGCTGCCTCTCCACACACCATTCCTAGAGCGGGTCCTGGAGCAATCTGCCGCAGAACATCGATAGTCTTGAAGGAATGCAATGCAGAAGAAACCAACACCCACCCAAGCACGCAGTGCAGCAGCAGCAGCAGCAGCAGCGGCGGCAGCAACAGCAACAGCTGCAGAAACTGGCATTCCAGCAGCACAAACCCCCAATCTCTGGCAATGGACATCTGGAACACTCCTCTTGTTTCTGCATTGAGACGACAAGGAAGCAGAAGCAGCAACAGCAACGGCAGGAGCAGCAGCAACAACAACAGCAACATCAGCGGCAGCAGCAGTAGCAACTGCATGCAGAACGCCGCAGGGCTCTTCGCCTCTCACCGCTCTCTCTCTGCTGATTCCACGAGGCGGCGAGCCTTCAGCAGCGGGCCAAGGGAGACATCAGCAGCAATTCAGGAGCAGCAGCAGCAGCAGCAGCAGCACGAAAACACAAGCAGCAGTATTAGCACCAGCAGCAGCAGCAGCAGCTCACGCACACGCTCCTCAGGAGCTCCTGCCTTTCGTATATCAAACGCGCATGCAGCAGACGCGCAGCACTTCCTCCAACTCCCAGGACAGCAACAGGCTGCTGGGACGCCCCCAAAGCAGCAGCAGCAGCAGCAGCAGCAGGACCCTCAGCACCAGCCCCACGCCACCTCTTCCCAAACTCTTCAAGCAGCAGGAGCCCCGCCGCTCCCCCTTCTCCTCTTTCGCAGCCCCCACCAGCAGCAGGTGCAACATGAGCAGCAGCAGCAGCAGCATCACCGAACAGAGCAGCAGGAAGGAGCAGCAGCGGCAGCTCTGCTTCCATACGAAGCAGACATGCTGACTGGAGATGCGGAGATGAGCGGGAGGGGAGCTCCGGGCTTGAAGAATGAGGTGCAGCTGCAGCAGCAGCAGCAGCAGCAGGAGCTCGAGCAGCAGCAGCAGGAAGAGAGTCTCGGAGCAGGCCCTGTTCAAGAAGCAGCAATTAGCAGCAACTCCCCTTCGCCCCACACGAAGGCCGATGCCCCTTCGGCTGTCTCCGATCCCACTGTGGCTCTCCTCCTTGCAGTGAGCGCTGAAAAGGAAGCAGCAGCTGCTGCTGCTGTTGCTGCTGCTGCTGTTGTGCTGATGTCGTTGCTGCTGATGCTGTTGATGCTGATGCTGTTGATGCTGATGCTGTTGATGCTGATGCTGTTGCTGCTGCTGCTCTTGATGCTGATGCTGTTGCTGCTGGTGTTGGTGCTGCTGGTGTGCAGCAAATCGAAGACATAACGAGGCAGCTGCCTCCGCGTATTATAGAGGCCTTCTGGGCTTCTCTTGCCAGCGCCCGCGCTAAGGCCGCCGCTGCACCTGCAGCAACGACAGAACCCTCTTCAGCAGCAGCAGCTGCAGCAGCTGCAGCAGAAGCTGCAGGAACAGCAGGAGCAGCAGGAGCAGCCGACGGAGCCTCGTCTTCAACAACAGAAGCAGCAGCAGCAGGTGGAGCAGCTGCAGCAGCAACTCCAAACCGCCCCACAGATGCAGCGCAAGCGCTGTGGGGCCCCTCTTCTCCGTCTTCTAGCAGTGGGGCCCTCAGCTTTGCTGAAGGCTCTTTGAAGTCAGTTTAGGTGTCTCCTTTTTGCGTCTTTGTTTGCAGCTAGATGTCTGTCTCTTTTCTTCTTTATTGCTTCAACCAGGCGGCTACGTGCTGCTGCTGCAGCCCCCCCTGCTGTTGTATGGGTTTTTTTACTTTCTTTGTTTGCCGCTAGGAATGCTTCTTTAGGCTTTCTTTATATATTTGCATGCACCGCTTTGGTGTCTCTGTCTCTTAAAGCCTTGTACAGTACAGTGAGAGACTCTTGCTGCAGCAGTTTGCTGCTGCTGCTCCCTCTTCCGCTGTCTCCATAGATATACACACAACAAGAAACCCCAGCAGCTGCAGCACTAAGGACGGAGAGCTGCGCTGCATGCGCTTCACGCTGCTACAGCTGCTTCTGCTGCTGCTGCTACTGCTGCTGCTGCGGCTGCTGCGGCTGCTGCTGCTGCTGCTTTGAACGCAGGTGCATCGTAGCTGTGGTGTGCTGTAGCCTCGCTGATGCTTCGACTCGGTCATTTGGGGCTGTCAGTCTGCTGCTGCTGCTGCTGCAACATGCATGCAGCTACTCGTTTGCTGCTGTTGCTTCTTTGGCCCGTGCATGCAAAGCAAAACGCTTTGGGGCGGCCTCTAGCTGCTGCTGCTGCACTAGCAGCAGCTGTTGCAGCTGCTGAGGTTTTCTTCTTCAACTGCCCCTCAACAGCCTTCGGTTATTTAGAGAGACTTTGCTTATTACAGTTTATTATGGTGTGTTTATTAGGGGTTGTCTTATTACGGGTTTCTTATTAGGGTTTTATTAGGTTTTCTGCTGCTGCGGCCATTATACATATATATAAATGTATATATATATATGTATATATATAAGTGTAGATATGTATATTCATATATATATATATATTTAAAGGCGGCAGCGGCCTATGATTGCTGCAGCCTGTGGCAGCACAGTGCATAGCCTTAGCGCGTGTTGCGAGGGGCTGTCTTTAAAAACATTTTTAAAATGCGGCTGCCGCTCTGCTGCTGCTGGCGGCAGATTGGCAGCGACTTGCTGCTGCGCCTGCTGCAGCAAATGCAGCGGACGCAGCAGGATGGGTACTGCAGCAGCTGCAGCACCAACTACAGCAGAAACTACAGCAGCAACTGCAGCAGCAGCAAAAGCAGCAGGTGCAACTGCAGCAACAGCAGGCAGCGAAGCTCTCCTTCTCTTCAAGAGAGATTCTCATGAATGCAGCAGTTGCTGTGTAAGCCGCTTGTGCTTATCTCTCGCGCTGCAGTTGCCAGCAGCAGCAAACAGTGTGGGGTGTACGTACACCTCAAAGTCTAAAAAAATGAAGGGAATTTGAATAACAAATGCCCAGCTTGCGCCTTCTATCTCTCTCTCTATATATTATATATATGCGTATATTAGATAGTATATGTATATATGCATATTATACAATATACATTTATATATCATATTTTTGATATATATATATATATATATACATCTATATATATATATATATATATATGCATGCATATTACATAATTTATATACATGTATATATTAGACAATATATATATATATATATATACATACATACATATGTATATCTTCAAGCACTATACACAGTTTATCTATATACAGACAATATCCGCACTGCATAAAATATATACATATATATATATATCAATATACATACATATGCATACATTATATATATGTACATATATATATATATATATATATACATATAATATATATATATATATAGTTATTTATTATGCAGGTGGTTTAGTGAGGGTTTGTTGTTTGCGTGTGATTGCGGTGTAGTAGGCCTGAGCTTGCTGCGGAGACACCAGAAGAAAGGGGTATGCATCAAAGTTAGAAAGTAAGCACTCTTGTAGAGATTTGCTTTTAATTTGAATTGGTTTATATACATCTTCTTTATCGCCTATTATCTCTGTTGCAGAAGAAGAAACATCCGTCTGAGACCCTGACATGCAGCACACTTCACTTTTGCTGCCAGCAGTTCCTGCTGCTTCTGCTGCTGCAGCTTCTGCTGCTGCTGCTTCTGCTGCTGCTGCATCGTCAGCCAATATATGCGCAACAGCAGAATTGACGTCTTCTACACCCAACGCGATGTGCAGAAAACCCGGGTGTACAGACACCTGAACAGCAGCAGCAACAGCAGCAGCAGCTACTCCAGCAGCAGCAGAACCAATGCAAGCGCAGCACTGCAGCGTTCCTGCTCCTGCTGCTGCTGCTGCTCTTATACTGAGGAGAAGGGGTGTATCTTCTTTTCTTCTTTTTTACAAAACAAAAATAAATTTTTAAGTGGTTTTATACTTCAAATAAACAGACAAAGACATAAAACACACCGAAGAAATATCAACTATATATATATAATATTATATTATATATTCTATTAAATATTATATATTGCGTTTTATATATTCTATATTATAAATATATATTATACATTGCATTTTATATATTCTATACTATATATTATAAATATACAATATATACGTATACAAATAAGTGTAGACATTAAACATGTATTATCAGCAAATATATATATATATATATCATATATATTTATATATGATAATGTATATTATGCTGTAGGTATTATATAATATTACATATAAAACACATGCATAATATATATATATATGTATTATATTAAGTACACCTCAAATAGAAATAAGTATAAGAATAAACAAATGCAAACATAGATAATTATATAAGTGCTTATACAAAATTCAGATATACATGCATGCATTATAAATATTATAAATGTACTTAGACGCGTACACCAATATACATCTAAGTAATGTATATCCATATATATTTACACTTATGTATATGCATGCATATGCCTATCTATAATATATATATATATATGTATATATATACACTTACATATATAAATATATATATATATATTATGTAGATATAGATAATATAGATGCATATATATGTATGTATATTTATAGTATATATATACATATATATATATATGTATAGATAAGTGCAAATAACTATATAAAAGAACTAATTCAGGTTTAGGTGTACATACAGCGCATGCAGTGAGGCCTCACCACATCTTCATCGTATGCATAAGCAATTTGCAGTTGTGTGTTTGCTCTCTCTGCTGCTTCTGTAGTAAAAACTGCTGCAGCAGCAGCAGCAGGGTCTTGTGCTGCAAGGCCCTCCCACTCAGCTGGTACGGGGGTGCCCTGGCCATAGAGGCCTTCTTCTCCTGCTGCAGCAACAGCAGCAGCAGCAGCAGCTGCTGCTGCTGCTGCTCCCTCCTTTGCTGCAGCCTTTGCTGCTAGTGCTGCTGCTTCGCATGCATAACTACGACTTGTAGCAGCAAAACGAGTCCAGGGGTATATACGCTCCAGCAGGTGGCTTTTGTAGCGCAGCAGCTGCAGCAGCAACAATCACAGTGCATGCATGCATCCCTTCTGCTGCTGCTGCTGCTGCAGCAGCAGCTTAATGCTGCCCCCTTTATGCTGCTGCAGCACTGCATTGCTGCACCGATTGTGCTGCTGATGCTGCTTGCTGCAAGCAACACGAGCTATGCTGCTGCTGTCTCTTGTTGTCTCTCCATCGTCTGTCTCTCTAACATCGGGTGTTTCTGCTGCATGAATTCTGTCTGTTTCTGCTGCATGTACACTGTTTCTCCTTGTCTGCCTCTGTCTATTGCTGCTGCTATCTCTGCCCCTGGTTGCTGCTATCTTCATGTTTAGCTGCTGCTGCCGTTGTTGCTGTCTCTGCTGCCAGGGTTTTTAGCTGCTGCTCTCTCAGTTAGCTGCTGATGTCTCTGCCTGGCTGCAGCAGCAGTTTCTGTTCTCATTGGTTGTAGCTGCTGGTGTGTCTCAGTCTAGCTGCTGCTGTCACTCCTTCTAGCTGCTGCTGTCTCTGTCTCTGTCTCTCGCTGCTGCTGCGTTTGCTGTTAGTGTTTGCTGCAGCCTCTTCACCTGCATCTGCAGCTGTCTCCCGAAGAATCTATCTGCAGCAACATGAGACGAAGTGTACAGCCGAACCTAAACACACACATACCAGCAGCAGCAGCAGCAGCAGCAGCAGCATCAGCAGCAGCAACACCGCTAGCAGAATCAGCAGCAGAGCATTAACAGAATCAGCAGCAACAACATCAGCTTCAGCAGCACCATCAGCAATAGAAGCATCAGCAATAACAGCATCAGCAGCAGCATCGGAAGCAGCAGCATCATCATCAGCATCAGCAGCGCCGTCAGCAGCAGCAGCAGCAGCATCAGCAGCAGGTCCTAGAAGAAAATATTATATACAGGATGTCTCCCGGTGTATCTGTCTCCAAAAGCAGATAAAGCGACTAACTTTCTGCAGTCGAGGAGTCAGGGGCCCCTTGTGCTGCAGCGCAGCACCCGCTGCTGCTGCTTCCCTTTCCTGCTGCTGTTGCTGCTGCTGCTGCTCCAAAGCATCAATTATGCGCTGCTGCTCGTTGAATGCATCCAGCTTCCGCTGCAGTTCCTGCTTTTGCTGCAACAGACTTCCAAGGTCCTGCTGCTGCTGCTGTTGTTCCTGGTTTTGCTGCTGCTGTTCTTGCGGTAGCTGTTGGTGCTGTTGTTGCTGCTGTTGCTGCTGCTGCTGTTGCTGCAGCAGCAGGGCGTCAACATCTCGGAGTTGCTGCAGCAGCTGCTGCTTCTGCTGCTGACGACTGATATCTGCTTCTTGTTCAGCCATGTATGTCTGCCAGGTGTTTATTGCTGCTTCTTTCCTTCTGTCTTTCTCACTCATGCCCATGCTGCTGCAGCTGCTGCTGCGCGTTAGTTGCTGCACCTCCACACCGTTGCCGTCAGGGTCCAGCAAAAAGCAGCTCTGACCCCACAACTCTTGACGAGCCTTCAACAACACTCAAACCCTAAACCCTAAACCCTAAACCCTAAACCCTAAACTCTGAACCCTAAACCCTAAGCTGTGAACCCCACACAGGAAACCCTAAACCCCTTAACCCTAAACCTTACATTCTAGCCCTAAACCCTAAACCCGAAACCCTAAATCCTAACCGCCAACCGTAAACCCTTAACCCTAAACCCTAGACCTTCATCCACCTGCAAGGCCCCACTAGGGGCAGCTTATGAGGCCGCTGCTTTCTGCTCGTGTTTAGGGTTTAGGGTTTAGGGTTTAGGGTTTGTTGACGTACATCTTGATCTGGGATCATGGAAGGGATTTGCTTTCTCTTTGCGGGGAAGTGCAGCAGCTTGCCTCCGGCTTGCTGCACTTGCTGCTGCTGCAGCTGCTGCAGCTCTGGCAGCAAAAAAGTAAAGCCAAAGAAACCGTGATAACCCCTGTCGTGTCTTCCCCGTCTTTTTTCATAGCTGCGCATGCGAGATAAGCTGGGCAGCAGTTTGCTGCTGCTACTCCTAATGCTGCTGCTGCTGCCGCTGCTGACCCTCTGCTGCAGCAGCTGCTCCTCGTGCTGCCGAAAGGCAGCAACAGCAGCCATGAGGCTTTCTTCTTCTTTCTTTAATGCAGCTTTTAATGCTTCTTCTTTTTGCTGCTGCTGCTCTGCCCACTTGCTGCTGTATATCAACTCGAGCTTAAAACCCAAGGAGGATCCCTGTGGGGCCCCCTGGGGGCCCCCTGTGGGGCCCCCCTCTTCTGCTGCTGCTGCGCATGCAAGTAATGCAATTTCATCTACTGGTATTTTGTCTCCAGTGTTTAGAGACACCTGCCCAGTGAGGGGCTCCCATAGAGAGGGCGCTGTCTCCTTTGCATGATTAATATTATTTGTTTGTATATTTACTGTCTCTGTTTGTCTTGTCTGTGTTGGACTGTCTCCTCTGTCTCTAGAATTGTATCCTGCTGCTTTGTTTGCTTCATCTTCTTCCCGCTGCTGCTGCTGCTGCTGCTGCTGCTGCTGCTGCTGCTGCTGCTGCTGTCTCGATACACTCCAACGCCCCACTAGCTGCATGCCCAGCAGCTGAGTGTAGAAGACAACCATTGGCTGCAAATTGAGAGTAAGCAGACGGAGGTGCAGCAGAGAAGAATTACCTAAAGGCATGCGGGGGACAGACACACAAGATCCTGCTGCTGCTGCTGCTGCTGCTGATCCTGCTGCTGCTGCTTCATCTGGTACAGATGCTGCTTCTGCTGCTGCTTCTGCTGCTGCTTCTAATGCTGCTGCTTCACGCGCTTCTGCTGCTTCTTCTGGTGGCGATGCTGCTGCTGCTGCTGCCGTTAAACGCAAAGCTGCTGCTGTTGCTGCTGCGGGAGAACCACTTCTGTGAGATCTATGCAGCATATGAAAAGAACTGTATCTTCCAGCTGTCCCTCCAGCAGCAGCAGCTGCTGCTGCTTCTGCTGCTGCTGCTGCAGCAGCAGCAGCATTGCCTTTGCACGGCTGCAGAGCGGAGTTGAGTTGTGGGGTTGGGATGAAGAAAGCCTCAGAAGTGCAGCAAAACCATGAAAAGCAAATTAACACCACTGCTGCTGTTGCTGCTGCTGTTGCTGCCGCTGTTGCTGCTGCTGTGGCTGCGCGGCGCCGCAGCAGCAGTAAGGGGAGGGGCCCCCGCGGGCGACTGCAGCAGCCGTTCATCTTTTCAAGATGCAGCAGATGTGGGGCCCCAGCAAGGCTGAGGGGCCCCCAATAAGACCCAAGGAAACTCAACAAGCCGCAGCAAACCTCAAGCAGCAGCAACTGCAGCAACTGCAGCAACTGCAGCAACTGCAGCTACTGCAGCAACTGCAGCAGCAGAAGTTCAGGCGGTTAGTGCTGCAGTCGAAGCACGGGCTGGTGTTGCCGCTTGTTGCCATCAACAGCAGCAGAAGGTGCTGCTGCTGCTGCTGCTGCTGCTGTTGCAGCAGACAGGCATAGGGCGAGAGGAGACCCAGCTACACAGACACCCTAACTGGGGTGTCCAGACGGCGAGAAATGCCTCATTAGAAAGTTAAAAAATAGAAGTTATTAAATTATTATCGTTGCTATTTGTAGTTGCTGCTGCTGCTGCTGCTGCTGCTGTACCCTGGGGCCCCCCAAAGGAGGGGGGGGCCCCCAAGGGCCCCCTACGATCTTCTCTAGAGATGTTTCTGTTTTGTTTGATTACTAGAGTTTAGATGCATCTTTTTTATTGTTTTTTTTATTCTTTTTTACCTCTTAAGGGCCCCCTCCTTGCTGCTGTCTGGGGGCCCCCCCTGTGTTTGTTGCTGTTGTTTCTTCGGGGGGAAGATAAATATATTTAATAATTAAATATACAAATATATTTATTTTTTTTTCTCATTATACACACAGATGAATATCCTTTAACCTCTTCTTAATTACAATAAGGGGCCTCCAAGCTAGCAAGGCCACAGCAGCAGCGGCAGCTGCAGCAGCAGCAGCTTTTAGGTGTATGTACACCTGGTGTATGCACAGCATGCGCTGCAAGACAACAGCTTTTCACCTTTTCCTTTTCTTTATTGTGCTTCTCTCGCGGCTCTGTCTGGGTGTAGGCTTTCTGCGGGCCCCTGCAGGGGCCCCCTGCAGCATTTGCTTCTCTACAGCTACTGCTGCTGCTGCTGCTGCTGCTGCTGCTGCTGGGGGAGTCGTTCATAAGGGGAAGATTGTTGTCAGCATTAACTCTTTAAACCCAAGACATCAGCAGTCTGCTGCAGCAGAGGAGTACCTGCGGCTGCGCAACACCTTTAGTAATCTGTCGGAGTCTAGCGGGGGGCAGCAGCTGCTGCAGCAGCAGGAGCAGCTGCTGCTGCAGCAGCGCGAATCTGGCGCTGCTGCTGCTGCTGCTGCGGCTGCTGAGTACAGAAGGGTGAGTGATGCCCTTGACTGTCTCTGTGCTGTCTCTCTTTCTATCTCTTGTTTGAATCAGTTGCTGCATTTGCTGCTGCCCCTCTTTGTCTATCTGCTGTCTCCTTTTTATTCAGATAAAAGAGAAGAGACAGCAAGCACACAGACAGCCGAGAAAGAAAGAGATTAAATTGAGTGCGCGGTAAGCCTTTCAGGTGTACATGCATACACCCCAAATGCTGCTCCTTCTCCAATCTCTGCTGCTTTAGCTGCAGCAGCAGCATCTTCTGCTGCTGCTGCAGCGTTACTGCATCTCGCTGCTGTGTTTGCTTTGTTTGCTGCAGCATAGCAGAGGGAGATCTGCAGCAGAAAGCCAAGAGAGCAAGAGACTTCTTGAAGGACAAGCACCAAGTAAAGATAAACACAAAATATATTATCATTATAAAAGCAGCTCCTCTTTTTAATTATATGTGCCGCAATTCTCTGCTGCAGCAGCGAATAATGCTGCTGCTGCTGCTGTAGCTGCTGCGGCAGTCTGCTGCAGCAGCAGCAGCAATTACTTCTGCTGCAGCAGCAGCAGCAATTACTTCTGCTGCAGCAGCAATTACTTCTGCTGCAGCAGCAATTACTTCTGCTGCTGTGGACTTGCTGCTGCTTGCGTGTAGGTGAAGTTCTCGCTGCAGCTTCGAGGGCGAGAGAAGCAAAACCCCCAGACATACCTCCCGCTGCTGCAGCAACTGCAGCAGCTGCTGCAGGACGTAGGGCAGCCAGCAGCACCACCGCAGGCTAAGGGCCCCACATCTGTCCTTACTCTCTTTCTTCAACCCAAGAAAAAACAGAACAAAGCTAAACTACAGCAGCAAGAGCAGCAGCAGCAGCAGCAAGAGCAGCAGCACGAGGAGCAGCAACTGCAGCAGCAAGAGCAGCACCAAGAGCAGAACCAGCTGTAGCAGTGATTGCGGCAGCAAGAGCAGCAGCAACTGCAACAGAAAGAGCCGCACCAACTGCAGCAGATGCACAGACGGACATGCAACTGAGAGCGAGGCAGTCAGCAACATTCCTCAGCCGCTCTGTCTCCGCTGCAACGACAACTAGCCATTTGAACAGCTAGCTAGCTGGCTAGCCAGCTAGCTAACTGGCTAGCTAGCTAGCCAGTTAGCTAGCTGGGGCATCTCGAAGTAGCTAGCCACCTCGAGATGCCCCTGTTGACTGAAAGGCGAGATAGATGCCTTCGCCTTAGTGAGGCTACAGCCTAACAACAACAACGCAGCAGCAGCAGCAGAGCTGCATTATTTTAATGGGGTGTACATACCCCCGCAACTCTTCTCTCTACAGTGAGAGCCCCGCCACCATTCAGTTAGGCTTCCTAGTTAGCTAGCTAGCTAGCTAGCTAACTAGCTAGTTTACTGTCCAGACAGCCAGCTAGCTAACTAGCTAGGTGTCTAGCTCTCTGGCTAAGAGCCTTAGCAAGTGTCTAGCTGCCTGCCTACCTGGCTAGCTAGTTAGCTAGCTAGAGAGCTAGCTAGCTAGAGAGCTAGCTAGCTAGAGAGCTAGCTAGCCAGTTAGGTAGCTAGCTAGCCCATACATGTGTGCAGCTGCAGCAAAAGATTCTTTCGCACAGCAAACCCTTAAGCAGAGCACTTCAAACCGAAGGCAAGCAGCGGGGGGCCCCCCTTTGGAGGCCCTCCACTGCTAACCCGACATAAACTGTTGCAGCTTCGGGGGGGCCCCTTTAAGGCCTCTTAGGGGCCTCATCTCTAAGGGGGCCCCCTGAAGGAGAAAAAAATTCACGAAATCCAACGGGCCCCACACAGGGGGCCCCCCAAAAGGCCCCTCCGAAGGGGTCCCTTGGGGGCCCCCCTGAGGCCCCATTGAGAGGGGGCCCCCACAAGAGGCCCTTCTGCGGGGCCCTTTAAAGGCCCCCCCAAAAGGGTACTCCTGAAGTGCCCTTTGAGGGGCTCCTCTAAAGAACCCTCGTTGAGAGGCCCCCCTGAGCAACCCCCGTTCCTAAGGGGCCCCTATTAGGGGGCCCTAAAGGGGGCCCTAGCGGGGCCCCCTTAGGGCTATCTAAGGGGCCCCCTCAGTGGGGCCCCTTGTGGGGCATTTAGGGGGGCCCCCTTAGGGGGCCCCCCTAAGGACATTTAGGGGCCCCCCTTAGGGGGCCCCCGTCGGTATGTTGCAGGAAACGCCCCACAAGGCTTCAGGCAGCTTGAAGGACCGCAGGCGAAGCTTAGCTGCGGCCGCCAGATGGCCTTCGGTAGATAGATTGCTGCTGCTGCTGCTGCTGCTGTTGCTGTTGTTGCTGCTGCTGCTGTTGTTGTTGCTGTTGCTGTTGCTGCTGCTGCTGCTGCTGCAGCTGCCGCCATACAAGGTCCTCGAATTCGTCACTCTGAAGAGCAGCAGCAATCGCCCGCTTCAAAGCAGCACGCGAAACAACTAGGGTTTCCTCTTCCCCCTTTGCTGCTGTTGCTGCTGCTGTTGCTGCAGCTGGGGCTCCTGATGCATCTCGCTGCAGAGACAGCACAACACAACAGCAGCAGCAACAGCTTAGTGCGACAAAACAATTGGTTAGCAAGCCTTACTAAGCGTGGAGTTAGCTACCTAGCTAGCTGACTAGCTAGCCAAGTAGCTAGCTAGACACTTGTTACGGCCTATAGCCAAAGCGTTAGGCAGCTAGCTAGCTAGCTAGCCAGGTAGTTTCTCCTTTGCTAGCTAGCTAGCTAGCTAGCTAGCTAGCTAGCTAAGGAGATTGAAGAGGAAGATGCCTCACAGTAAGCATCTGCAGAAGAGACTGCGGAGAGAACTCCTTCCGGTAGCCAGCTACTGGTGCTGACGCTGCTGCTGGTGCTGCAGCTGTTGCTGCTGTTGGTGCTGCTGCTGCATGCACAACAAGAGAATACTCGTCGTCCCGCTTAGACCCCACAGCAGCACAAGCTGCCGGGTCATCGGAAGGCTGCTGCTGTTGCTGCTGCTGCTGCTGCTGCTTCCGCTGCTTCTGCAACTGCAGTACGCTTTGGTGACGCTGGTTCTGCTGTGGCTGTTGCTGTTGTTGTTGTTGCTGCTGCTGCTGCTTGTCGTGCTGCAGCTGCTGCTTCGGTTGCTGCTTCTCCCGCTGCTGTCGCAGCAAATTGATGATGGCCTTCGATCCATCTGCAGAAGAAGAGGGGACACTCCTCGTTCTCACTGGCGCTGCATCATCCTCTGTTGCTGCTGTTGTTGCTGCTGCTGCTGTTGCTGCTGCTGTTGCTGCTGCTGTTGCTGTTGCTGCTGCTGCAGCAGACTTCGCTGCAAGGTTTCCCTTTGCTGCCTGATAAGACGCCTCGAAATCCGTGGGGATCGGCACACCTCCCGTCATAATAGACAGCAGAGCCTGCAGCAGCAGCAGCAGCAGCAGCAGCAGCAAATGCAGCAGCAATAATCGTCACGACTATAGTGATTAGCAGAAACAGCAAACTTCCGCCTCTGCTGCACGACTGAAACACCGAACAGATGCAAAGGCGGCACCCAATCAAACGCCCTGCAGCAGCAGCAGCAGCAGCAGCAACAGCAGCAACGGGAGCAATCTAGGAATCATTTGCTGCTCTAAGGGCGCACCCTGCCTGCCTTCTCTCTGTTTGTTTCTTTCGTCCGTTCCAGTGCTAGACATTGTTGCTGCTGCTGCTGCTGCTGCTGCTGAAGGTGTTCCAATCCTGAGGAAGACGCTACGCCTGTTGGTGGTGGTGCTGTTGCTGCTGCTGCTGCTGGTGTTGCTGCTGCTGCTGCTGTTGCTGCTGCTGCTCCCTTGGACTCAAGGACATCTCGCAGCGCCTCCTGCAGCCGCAGCCTTTCCTTATCGCTGTGCATCCACAGCCCGTACACCGCATACTGATCCTGCAGCAGCAGCAGCAGCAGCAGCAGCAAATAGAAAGCCTAAACTCAAGACGAAAAACCACGTGGTGGTGTTTAAAAAGATGCAGCTCCTGCCTCTCTCCCTGAAATTGCTGCTGCTGCTGCTGCTGCTGCTGTTGCGGTGGTTGCTGCTGATGTAGGCGCAGAGTGCATGCAGCAGCTAACCCCTAGCATATCGCCAGCAGCAACAACAGCAGCAGCGGTATTCACAGCAGCAGCATCATCATTCACAGCAGCAGCAGCATTCACAGCAGCAACAGCAATATTCACAGCAGCAGTAGCATCATTCACAGCAGCAGCATCATCCACAGCAGCAGCATCATTCACAGCAGCAGCAGCATTCACAGCAGCATTCACAGCAGCAGCAGCATCACTGACAGCAGCAGCAGCATACTTGGTTTGCTTCTGGTATCTTATAAAAGACATGACTGGGCCCCGCCTCTACAACGAAATTCGGCCCCGGGTAAATGTCTTGAAAAAATATTTCTTCTCTGCACTGGTTGATGATGAACATGCGATATTTAGCTGTTGCTGCTGCTGCTGCTGCTGCTCCAGCTGATGCAGCAACAGCAGCACCCGTCGGGCCTGCTCCTCCTGGTCCTGCTGCTGTTGCACCTCCTCCTCCTGCTGCTGCTGCTATTGCACCTCCTGCTGCTGCTGCTGCACCTCCTGCTGCTGCTGCTGCACCTCCTGCAGCAGCTCCTGGAGCATGAAACAAAGGGTTTTCAGGCTGACCTCTAGCACTAGCAGCCCCGTATCTTAAATATAATTTAGAAGTTAACGGGTTTCTATGACTCGGCAGCAGCAGACAGCCCCAAGTAGCTACACCCGGAGGGGGGCCCCCCTGGGGGGCCCCCTTGGGCACTCTTCTTTCGGTTAGATGCAAACCTCCTACTACATCCATCTTATTCCAAACCTTCTTTGATAAATCTAATCGATATAATGCAACAAATGAAACCTGACATATTATTCGAGTAACGCTTGCGTCGTAGCTGTGCAGACACCTGAAGAAGAAGACAAAGCAGCAGCAGCAGCAGCAGCAGCAGCAGCAGCAAACATGCATGCATGCATGGATTCAACTTATAATCCATACACTACAGATGATCATAAAACAGCACCACCAGATGCTGCAGCATCAGATAATGCAGCAGCAGCTGCTGCTGCAGCAACAGATGTAGCATACAAGCAGAAACATCAGCGGGAGAAACAATAGAAAGAGCAGCAACAGCAACAGCAGCACAAACGCCAGCAGCAGCGGCAACCGCAGCAGCAAAGATACAGCACTCGCTGCATGCAAACAAAACGCCCCTAAGCTGCAGCAGCTAAGGAAGCAGCAGCACTGCCGAGGGAATATCCACAGAAGCGCAGCAGCAGCAAGAGCACCAACATCAACAGCAGCAAGAAGAACAGCAGCAGCAGTAAGCACGGCAGAAGCACCAGCAAGAAAAGCAGCAGCAGCAATAACGGCAGCAGCAGCAGGAGGAGCAGCAGCAAGAACAGCAGCAGCAGCAGCAGCAGCAGCAGCAGGCTGACTTGAGAGAAAGAAGGGTGCGGGAGAGCTGCACCAAAGCGGAGGGTGGCGCTGCATCATCTTCTGCCTCCTCCGTCTTAGCGTTCCTTGAAGGACGCGCTGTTCTTACTGCTGTTTTTGCTGTTGCTGCTGCCGTTGCTGCTGCTGTTGCTGTTGTTGATGCTGTTGCTGCTGTTGCTGCTTCTCCATCTACGGAGAAGGAGACAACAGCAGGATCTGCAGGCAGACGCGAGAGCATTGCATCAGGATAAGGGGCCCCAGCAGCACTCAACAGCAGCTCCCGCCACCTGCTGCAGCAGCAGCTGCTGCAGCTGCTGCTCTGTTTCCCTGGTGGGGGGCCTTGCGGCGGCAGCAACAGCTGTTCGTCAGGTGTATGTACACAAGCCGCAGCAACACGCAATCGGATTTGCTGCTCAGCTGTCTAATTCTCCTGCTGCTGCCCCGCTGCCAAAGAAAAAGAAGCCAACTTCCCAGACAGCAGCAGCAGCAGCAGCAGCAGCAGCAGCAGCCCGGGTGTACGATCCCTCAATAAAGCCTCTTCTCAAGGAACTGCCGAATAAAGAAAAACAACTAAACAGAAAAAGTGCTTAAAAACATTTAGAACGAGCTACCTGCAGCAAACAGCCACCGCAGCAGCAGCAACAGCAGCAGCAGCAGCAGAGCGGACAGACGCCCGCTCTGCATGCAGCAGCAAACTCAGGCGCAGCCGACGCAGAGGGGCCCCCCATAAGAATAGAAGTAATTGTTATAACAGATTATTAATTTAAATTATTTATTATTTATGCTGCAACAACTATTTGAATATCTACAGCTTGGATAGGGTGTCGCCTTTAAGCAGCAGTAGCAACACCAGCAGCAGCAACACGAGCAGCAGCAGCATCAGCAGCCAAAGCAGCAGCAGCAGCAACAGAGTATCTGTGTGGCGCATGCATGCAAGTGATTTGCTGCTGTTAATAGTTATATTTATATATTTGTATTTATATTAATTAATAAATAATAATAATAAATAACAACAATAATAAATAATAAATAATAATAATAATAATCATAATAATAATAGAATACTTAGATATACACCCCAGCCCTCCTTTCTTACTTTGTAAGAGAGCTAACAGCAGCTTCTTCGTTTTCTTCTTCTCTGTCTTCTCTCCTTATAAACAAACTATATAAACTCTATATAATATATACATAGTACATATTATATATATTATATATTTTATTTACTATATATTCACAATAATATATATCAAATGTAATATATATGTATATATATATATATAATATATGTTTATAACAAAAGCAAACATTCATTTACACGCAGTAAAAAACAAAAAAAAACAAAAGCAGCAGCAGCAGCAGAAGTACGACTGGCAGCAGAGAGTAGCAGCAACCAGCTGCCGCAACAACGCTGACTCCGGCTACCTATAGCTAGCTACGGCTAGCTAGAGCTACTTGCTGCTCTCGCTGCTGCTGCTACTGCAGCCGCTACTGCAGCGAATGCTGCTGCTGCTGCACTATGCAGCCCAGCTATCTACTGCTGCTGCTGCAGCAGCTGCCGCTGCTGCTGCCGCTGTTGCAACCAATGCTGTTGCAGCCAATCCTGCTGCTGCTGCTGCTGCTGCTGCACTATGTAGCCCATCTATTGCCTATCTGCTGCAGCTGCTGCTGCTGCACTATGTAGCCCATCTATTGCCTATCTGCTGCAGCTGCTGCACGAGCTGCCACGCTTTGTTGCCTCTGAAGAGAAGCGGAGAGTCTAAGAGGCCCTGACCAGCAGCAACTCCCCCCTCAATTGCTGCAGCAGGCTTAGACCGCAGCAGGATCCCGCAGCACACGTTCAAATCCTCGCTGCTGCTGCTGCTGCTGCTGCCGCTGCTGCTGCTGCTAGGTTGCGCCTCTTCACAGCGCAGCAAGGCGCTGAAGACACCCAACTCCCCCACAGCCGCGATAGCCCTGTACTGTACCGATGAAAACACCCCACATTGCTGCTGCTGCTGCTGCTGCTGCTGCTGCTGCTGCTGCTGCTGCTGTGTCTCCTTCTCGGGGGCCGGGCGCAGCAGCAATGAAGGGAACACCGGAGGCTGCATGCGCCGCACCAGGACATACGACTGAAGTCTGCCAGAAGGCTCCGTAGCAGCAGCAGCAGCAGCTGCAGCAGCAGCAGGGGCAGCAGCAGGAGCAGCAGCCGCAAGGTGCCGCAGCAGCAGCTGCTGCAGCTGCTGCCCACAAACATTGTTGCCTCCGCCTTCGCGCTGCGGCTTCAGCAGGTACAGCTCCGGGTTTGCTGCTGCGTGTTTAACAACAGATAAGCTCAGCGCTTCTAAGGGAGTTGATGCTGCTGCTGCTGCTGCTGCTGGTTTTGCTGCTACTTGTTTTGCTGCTGGTAGCGGGGTATCTGCAGGGTCGACATGCGGCTGCAGCAGCTGCCTGACAGCTTCTCTTGCTGCTGCATCAGGGAGGAACCGCTGCAGCACATCTTCTCCTGCGCCCCCCCACTGCTGCTGCTGCTGCTGCTGCAGCTGCGGGTATGTGCTGAATAGCTGCTGCACCTTCTTCATGCCTGCTAGCTGCGCAGGGAGAGAAGGGGCCTTAACTGCTTCCGATGTCTCGAGCATTTGTCTTAGTCTCCAAATGCCTTCATGAGTATAATGGGTTGGGGTGTACAGACACCGCAGCAACAGCACAGACAGTTCGACGCAGCAGCACCTGCAAAGCAAACATAACTTACCCTTATTATCCTGCTGCACATGCTGCAACCCATGCTGATGCTGCTGATGCTGCTCTTGCTGCTGCTGCTGCTGCTGATGCTGCTCTTGTTGTTGCTGCTGCTGCTCCTGCGGGCTGAAGGAGCAGCAGCAGCAGCAAGGCCTGTTTGAGGGAGGTTGCAGGCGCAGCAGCAATCTGCCTGCGCGGAGTTCATTGCTGTCTGCTGCTGCAGCATCTGTCCAGCTGCTGGTGCTGCCGTCGGGGTGCAGCAGCAGCAGTTGCTGCTGCTGCCACAATTCATATAGCTGCTGCGGGCTGAGCCGCAGCACCTGCGTGTTGCTGCTTCCTTCGATTGCTTCCTGCAGCTGCAGCTGATCAAACAGATTTGTCTCTGTCTCCAAACACAACATCACCATCACTACAGGGAAGCAAACTGTCCCCTGCTGCTGCTGCAGCTGCTGCTGCTGCTGCTGCTGGTGTTGCTGCTGCTGCTGCTGCTGCTGCTGCTTTTCGAGGCGTCTAATGTAGGCACGATGAGCAGCAGCAACCGCCCGCGCCATCTCCTCTGCAGCAAAGTTGTGGGGACAGACACTGAAGGCTTCTGCTGTCTCTTCTTCTTCGCAACAATCAACAGCAGGCGTTGCTGCAGCACTTGCTGCTGCTGCAGTTGCTGCTGTAGCATTTGCTGCTGCAGCTAGCTGCAGCGCGAGGTTTCTGTGCAGGCGTGACAGTCTCTGAGAGAGTGCAGCAAACGAAACAGCAATTGTATTGACTTCCACCAGCCTTAGTGGCCAGGCTCGGGCCTCATCTGCTGCTGCTGCTGCTGGTGCTGCTGCTGCTGTTGCTGTTGCTGCTGCTGCAGATGCGCCGTGCTGCTGCTGCTGCTGCTGCTCATCGTCAACTGATGTATCCAGCATAAAGTCTGTGCGCAGCAAATGCAGGCGAATGTCCTTCTTAATACACCGCGGCGGTTTGCTGCTGCTGCTGCTGCTGCTGCTGCTGCTGCTGCCTATGTACACCCTTTCCATGATTCGCAGCAGCTGGGCGAGGAAGGCGTCTTCTGCTGCAGCACGCTGCAGCTGCTGCTGCAGCCACAGCGGGTTTGTTGTAATGTTATCAATCAGCACATTGAAGTGAGGCGCCGCAGACACCGCCTGCAGCAGCAGCAGCAACAACAACAACACACGGTAAGTAAGCAGCCCCCTCCGCGCAAACTGCGACAGCAACAGCAGCAACAGCAGCAGAAGCAGCAACAGGAGCAGCAGCACAACAATAACAACAACTGCAGCGCAGCACCTGTTTGTAGCGGCAGTAGGGGAAGGGTGAAGGAAGCAAAAGGAACGGCACAAGACGAGCCTGCAGCAAGTCCATAGCTAAAGCTTGCTGCTGCTGCTGCTGCTGCTGCTGCTGCTGCTGGTGCTGCTGCAGCAGTAGCAGGCCGTTGCTCATGGCATAGCGAACCGCTTGCAGCAGCAGCTGCGGTATGCTGCTGCTGCACAGCAGCAGCCGTTGCAGCTCCAGAGGGGAGTGCAGCGCCTCCATCTGCAGCCCATACACCCCATGCTGGGAAGACGTGTGGGGTCCTGACCCCTCCTCCGCATCTGCTGCTGCTGCTGCTGCTGCTGGTTCTGCTGCTGCTGCTGCTGCTGCTGCTTGTTCTACTGCTTTTGCTGTCGGTTCTGCTGCTGCGTTGCTGCAACGGGGAGGCGCAAGGCGAAGGCTGGAGAGCAGGTGCAGCACCGCATGCAGCACATCCTCACCCCCAGCAGAAGGACCTGGGGCTTGCTGCATTGCCTGCTGCTGCCGTTGCTGTTGTTGCTGCTGCTGCAGTTGCTGCTGCGTGCTGCAGTCGCCTGCAGCGGTCTCTATTGGTGTTTGCTGCCTCTCATTGTGTGTCTTCCCTTCAGGGCCTTTAATAATAGGGCCCCACGTAGGTGACTAGCTTACTTATATGACCATCTCGATGCTGCAGCTCCTACCTGTGTTGCTGCTGCTGCTGCTGCTGCTGCAGCTGCTGAAGCAAGAGCAGCAGCAGCAGTTGCACTAGCAGGAGCAGCAGCAAGTAGTTTAGAAGCAGGGAAAACGCGCTGCGGAAGAATAATGTAAAGATTAATTAGCTGAGTTGTGCTTGCCTTCTAAAGCTGTATTGTTTCTTGCTGCTGCTGCTGCTGCTGCTCAGGCGGGCTGCAGCCGCTGCTGCATGCGCAATACCTCGAGCAGCAGCAAAAGAAAAGGAAGTATGCGAAGCATTCCTCTTATTTTTATAAACTGTTTAACCTCCGACTGTCTCAGCAGGCTCTAGCCGCTGCCAGTTGCCTGCTGCACAAGCTCTTCCTTGCTGCTGCAGCAGCAGCTGCTGCTGCTGCTGCTGCTCGTGCCGCTGCTGCTCTTGTTGCTGCTGCTTCAGCCCATCTTGTATATCTCTTGAAGCATACGCATTGCAGCAGCAGCGGCGGCAGGAGCGACAAGAGTCTGGTGTCTTCACCAAAGCGTGCAGACCTTTCTTCTACAGCAGCAGCAGCAGCAGCAGCAGTATGCTGCTGTTGTTGCTTCACTAGGCGGCTCAGCTGCTGCCGCCAATGGCATCTCCTCAGGGGCCTCCGGGCCTCGGTACTCCTGCACCGCCTGCTGGTGCTGCAGCTGCTGCTGCAGCAGCAGCACCCGCAACAGGATCTCCCGCTGCAGCAACACCAGCAGCAGCAGCAGCAGCTGCTGCTGCTGCTGGAACTGCAACTAGTGCCACACGTACTTCAGCTCGAGGGCAGCAATGCATTCAGTTGCTGCAGTCGCAACTTAGTAGGCGCGCGCTGCAGCTAATAGAGAGCAGCAGCAGCAGCAGCAGGGAAGACAGTGCCGTGGGGCCCGCAGCTCTGCTGCTGCAGCCGCAATCCTTTGTGCAGCAGCAGCAGCTGCCAACACTCGGCAGCAACTCCGCCCTGCCTTTGTACAGTGCAACAGCTGTCCCCGACCACCCGCTGCTGAAGCAGCAGCCACTGCAGCAGCAGCA